ATATGCACATAAAATTAAAGGGCGTTATTAGCAGAATACAATGCTGCAAATTTGAGCTCAAAGTAACAACTGATTAAAAAATGGCAGTCGTTCAAGAATTCAAAATGGCAGATTCAGGAAATCTTTGAACGACTGCCATTTTTGACTCGGTTGTCCGATTGAGTTCAAATTTGAGGCATTGTGTTCTACTATTAAAAGTCTTTAATTTGATCTGTATTAACCTAGATGCTTACATTTAAGTTTTTCTTCTGATTGCTAGGAAGCGGGCCGTCCCCCTGAGGAGGTAGTGTATCACTGAATAATGTGCCAAAATAATTTTAATACCCAGTAACTATGTATAAAGTTTTGAAGCTCTATATTTATTCATTTATTGAAATATTTAACCGTCCTGGGACTTTTTTCTACCCTGTATCAATTATCAATTATTTAAGATGGGGACGCCACTATGTGCGTATTTTAACCCAAATATGAGTGAAGGATGAGTGTAGGCGCGATCTTGTAGTCTTGTTAGTGACTAAGGCTGACATGTTCCTTAGACACAGCTGTTAATTAATAGCCCTTACAGCTAATGGCAACTAAGGGACCTACAGTTTATTGTGGAATCCGAACCACATTTTTTCCTCATAATTAACAAATTGGTCTAATTATTAGGATAGTACTGCGGATAGTCGTAGTACTCACTAGTGTGCACGTTAATCCACACCAAGTAGCATCGCATCCACAGTGCATCCCTATAATTATCCACAATTCGTGACCTCCTAGTAGCTGGATTACAGGACGACGCCACCCGTCCCAGTCTATATTAAAACGCGTGCTTATCATAGTGTAATTTAATTTTTTTTTGTAAAATTTCTTTTAAATACTTTAAATACTTTTTAATTGAAACTGCGACCAAACGAAGGTAGGTATTTTAAGCCAAGTATGAATGGAGATAGAGTGTAGGATGAGTGAAGCGATCTTGTAGTCTTGCTACTGACTATGGCCAACATGTTCCTTAGACTGGACTGTTAATTAATAGATACAGCCAATGACAACTAAGGGACCTGCAGTTTATATTGGAATCCGAACCACATTTTTACCGTGTAATTTACGAATTGATCTAATTATCAGAATAATACTGTGGGTAGTTGTAGTACTCACTAGTGCGGACGTTAATCCACACCAGGCAGTATCGCATCCATAGATCATGTCTATAAATATCCACAATTCAATTGCTTGGAAGTGGTTCAACATTTTTAAAACGAGTTTACCTAAAACAATCCTAATTTACTTTGAGTTTTAGAAAGTTATTGTTGAAAAAAATCTAAAAATTCTTCTGATCCAGTATTATATAAAGTTAGGGTAGGACGATGTAAACTAGGTCTAGGAATCTTTTAGGCAAAGGCACTATACAGAGTTAGGCAAAAGTCTGGAACCCCCCAGTTAACTTTTTCACGCGTTGCAGTAGGAAAACCAAACTTGGCACATATTTACAACATAAGAAATTGCACTTTTTCATCAAAGTTACAACTTTGCACCAGCCCCAAATTTTCAAATGTAAACACCTATCATGTGACCCCTCATGTTAAAGGGTTTATCAAGAGAAATTGAATGGCGCAAACTAGAGGTCAATATCGCACCCCTAATCAAAATGGCAGCCATTGATTGATTGATTGATTCTGTAGGGGCGGACCTTGTCCTGTTGCACGTCAGCCACTGATGGGCTTTTTGCGCTCCCCACATGGTACTTCAGAGTCCGTCAAACCTGAGTTGCTTAATGAACTCAAGCATCCTGTCAATGAGCTCCTCCTGAGGAAGGTGTCTGCCCCTTGTCATTGCACCAAGAGTACTGTCCCTTACCTCATTCAGAGCTGTGCAGTTGTATAGTAGGTGATCAGCAGTCTCCTCTGATTGCCCACATTTCCTACACGCAGTGTCACCATTGTGGATCCTCAAGCGATGCAGGTGTAATTTCAGAAAGCCATGTCCAGTGACCATTCCTGTGATCTGTCTGAGTCGCCTCCTGTCCAAGCGTAGGGCATTGGAGGCGACCGTCTGGGAAGGGGAGAAGAGGGTGAGCTTACTTACTCTATGGTGCTGAAGCCTAACCCATCTTTTCCTGTGTTCCTCCTGAGCCCATGCCATGACTGAGTGACATGCATGCCCACGAGAGATTCCACAGAAAGGACAGATTACAGATTCCCCAACCCTGCTATGAAAAGTTGGTTCTGAACCGACATTAGCAATCATTAGACCATTAGAGGCTAAGTATTCAAGAAGTGCCTTACCTCTTGCGTTATTATCCCTACATCCCCAAAGAGTGTTGTGGGAGTTGGAGTCACAGCCCAGCACGAGGTCGTCGCCGGTCCTGGCCGAGTGCTCGACCAGCTTCCTAACTTCCTCTTGCGGAGCCTGCGTGGGCTCATCTTGCGGCATATATACTGAAGCAAGTAGAAGACGCCGTCCGGACTCCCTGCATTTGGTCTCTACCGTCGTGATGTCTCTGGAACAAAATTCCAGAACCGGCACACAAATGGTGTCATTACTAGTCCAAATGCAGGTTCTAGGATTCCGGACCTGAGCCGAGAATACCTGGCCCCTAGAGACCCCCATTCCCGTTATATTGCCGTCTCTAACCCAGGGTTCCTGGATAAGGGCAAAGTCAAAAGCCCCACCCGCTGTACTCGCACAGAGTACCACAGTGGCAGCTTTACTGTGCTGTAGGTTCGCCTGCAGTATTCGGATCGTCATCAGGAGCACCTGAAAGAACCTTGAGTTGAACCCTTGTTATACCCAAGAAAATCCTCCAGCCCTTGTCCCTCAGGAACTTGGCACTCCCGCAGTCAATTGCCAGAACCAGAGTTTGGTGTTCCGCCTCTCGCTTGCAACTGACCACTCTCCAGTCTCTGGTTGACAGTCCAGGATTCAGCTTCTGGACAAACTCAAAGATTTCTTTAGGATCTTTCCTGGCCAGGATCCAGTCGGTATGGAGAAGGACCTTGGTGGTACGCAGGAGATCTTTATGATCCCCCACAATCACACTCAGCCCCCCCACGCCCACCGGACCCAGACCAACAGCCACCTCCTTGAGCCAATCTCTGGTCTCCTCGTTTCCGCACATGACTGCGAGGGCACCTTTGTCCTTGTAGGTTTTCAGGATCTGCTGAGGAGTGGCGGCCATAATAACCATCTCAAACAGTTTCTCCTGTAACAAGCAAAATTGTTCATCAGTGAACCTATCGTCAGGATAGTTCTCCGGAACAATCGCCATCTTCCAGCCCGAGAGTTGGTCCTTGAAGGTCAAGTCCTTGCTGGCATCGCCCTCTGCAGCGCTCCTTGGCGGCGGGGGTGGGACATCCCACCTTCTCGGCCGCTTTGGGGTGTGCTGAGTCTGATGCTGCTGCGGTGGACCTGAAACTCTACGCATAGAAGAAATACCAGAGCCCTCTCCTCCAGCAGGACTAGGAGTTTCAGCCTGCCTTTTCCTCTGGGGCTTGTTGACAAACCCTTTGGATTTTTTGTACTCAGCTTTTGAAAGCCAAGTACCCTCAGCCTACTTCCTTGCCCTGACCTGTGTCCTCCACACACTAGGGGGTAAAGATGGCCGTTGTCTTCTCTCCTGTTCTGGAACAGTTGCACATGCCTGGGTCTCTACGCTCAGATCCGGTGTTGCCACCTCAGAGGTAGAGCCCAGGGTTAGATTTGAATGGGCGCTTGAGTCAGCCACACTACCCGCCAAAGCCCTGTGTGCTTCCTCAAGCATTTGAACGTCGTCGATACCAAGATTTTGTGGAGATCTAGCAATGAGGGAGCTCCTGGCAAAAGCCTCTTTGCCCCCCTCCACCTTCGTCTCTGAAACATTGTCTGATAATTTGCCCTCCCCAGAATCCATGGGCAAGCCCTCCAAGTTGGAGGGGTGGGATTCACGCCTAGGCGCTGACCCACCTGGGGTAGTTTCCGTAGTTTGATTAGCAGACATCATAGCTTCTGAAACAATACCAGGTTAGCAGTTTGAAGACCGTACCGTGTTCCATACACTCCGCTCATCAATACCTACTCCAGCACTGCTGCACACATACCAGAACTGGAGGGCAATGCAGCAGCCTTACCGTGATCCATTCACTCCGCCTGCTGCTCAATTGACACTGAGCCCGGACCGGTGTCCATCACCTCGGCCTCAGGTCATACTAGTGTCGCTGCTCCCCGACCCTAGGGCAGACATTCACTCTGCCACCATAGATCCGCTGCCTTTAGTGATAACAGTGGCACCCCATGTAGGCTGTGACTAAAGGACACAGTACAGATTAACTGACTCACAGCGGTCTTGAGGGAAGGGTGCCACAAGGGCCCACATCCCCCCTGAGGGGCTTACGCTTACCTCTCGCCACCAATGGCAGCCATTTTAATTATTTAAGATGAGCAAGCAAGATAAAGTCTTGACACCCCCAGTTAACTTAAAAAAACAAAAAAAAAAAAAAAAAATTGATATTGATATTGATATTTTAATACCGACCAAAGGGTGATGCTGAGTTTAGTTTTCCTGCTAAAACCTGTTAGAAAGTTAATAGGGGATATTTAAAAATGACTGCCATTTTGACCTCTAGTTTGCGCCATTTAATTTGTCTTGAGAAACCCTTTAAAATGAGGGGTCACATGATAGGTGTTTACGTTTGAAAATTTGGGGCTGCCCCCAAAACACCCCATTTTGGGGGCCGGGTACAAGTTCTAACTTTAATGAAAAAGTGCATTTTTTATGTTGTAAACATGTGCCGAGTTTGGTTTTCCGACTGCAACGCGTTAAAAAGTTAACTGGGGGGTTCCAGACTTTTGCTTAGCCTGTATGGAGTACAGCAGATGTTGTAGGACTCATTGTATCTCCTAGCCTGCATTTAGTCAGTAACTGGTAAAAATAATAATAACCGAGATGGCTTAGATTAGATCTTTTAACTCTCACTAGAGGTATAGTTCTAATGTTGTTCTCAAAGTGATTTTATTTCTAAGCTCATCTATAATGTCCACAGCTCCTCCCCCTCGTCTGGTGAATGTGACTGTTCATGCCTCCACTATCCTGGCACTGTTGAGGCAAGTTAAATACAATTACCATAGTCAGGTGATATAACATAATATTACCAAATAATACTGAATGAAATACCCAGAACATGTTGTGAGTCAAGTTACTTAGAATACAAAATGTTCTTATCAGCAAGATTGCTGCTAGCATCATTTTTAATAGCTACCCTATAATGTATTAGAGGTTTTGAATAAAGTGTTTGTCAAGTTAAGAGAAACTGTAAAAGTTATGAATAAAAAACTTTTAAAAGTAAAAAATGTTTTAAAATGCATAAAAAAGTTGAAAATAATTTATAAATTATTTTCTACTTTTTAATTGGTAGGCCTATTTAAAAAAAAAAATTATTTTAAAATTAAAAAATTTAATTGATATATTTACATTCATCCAAAATTTAAACATAAAAAATTTGGAAGCCCATGGAGCATAGCCCAAAGGAAATATGTAAATAAAATGATTTAATATTGCATCGTTATCCATTTGTGGGCTATGTTTCAAGTTTCAAGTCTCTAGCTCATCGGGAAGTTGGTTTAAAATCGATTGCAAAATTTTTACCAAACAGACAAGAAAGCGAGCTAATAATAGTTTTAAAATGTTGAGACTGAAGAGCCATGTTCAGGAACATTAGCATGTTTAGCCGCCATCTTGAATTGACCAGGTAGAACCCTCTTAATAAAAACACATTAGAACAATAATTATAGCAGCTGATTAAAAATAACTAACAAAAGCATAGCAGTTTGCCGCAGATTGTAATGAAAACAGAGATACAATATACCCCTTAGCCAACATCAATCGTATTACATTCCATTCCAAATGAATGGAATGGAGAGAGGCAATTGGAATTGTGTAAATATTGTTTATAGTATAAGATGGCACCAAATCCATTCCTAGCTGTATCATTGCAGGTGGGATGTAGCTGACACTGGTGGCTACCCCATATCTCACTACACAGCTCAGTACAGACTCAAGCACAGTTCTCTTGATGAACCTCTACATGAGTGGCACAAAGTCATATCTGATCACATCAGTCCTGTAGCTTTGTATCTGTATGAAAGCTTTGTCTGTATCATTGCAGGTGGGATGTAGCTGACACTGGTGGCTACCCCATATCTCACTACACAGCTCAGTACAGACTCAAGCACAGTTCTCCTGATGAACCTCTACATAAGTGGCACAAAGTCATACCAGGCCGCATCAGTCCCGTGGCTTTGTATCTGTATAATAGCATTGTCTGTATCATTGCAGGTGGGATGTAGCTGACACTGGTGGCTACCCCATATCTCACTACACAGCTCAGTACAGACTCAAGCACAGTTCTCCTGATGAACCTCTACATGAGTGGCACAAAGTCATACCTGGCCACATCAGTCCCGTGGCTTTGTATCTGTATGATAGCATTTTCTGTATCATTGCAGGTGGGATGTAGCTGACACTGGTGGCTACCCCATATCTCACTACACAGCTCAGTACAAACTCAAGCACAGTTCTCCTGATGAACCTCTACATGAGTGGCACAAAGTCATACCAGGCCGCATCAGTCCCGTGGCTTTGTACCTGTATAATAGCATTGTCTGTATCATTGCAGGTGGGATGTAGCTGACACTGGTGGCTACCCCATATCTCACTACACAGCTCAGTACAGACTCAAGCACAGTTCTCCTGATGAACCTCTACATGAGTGGCACAAAGTCATACCTGGCCACATCAGTCCCGTGGCTTTGTATCTGTATGATAGCATTTTCTGTATCATTGCAGGTGGGATGTAGCTGACACTGGTGGCTACCCCATATCTCACTACACAGCTCAGTACAAACTCAAGCACAGTTCTCCTGATGAACCTCTACATGAGTGGCACAAAGTCATACCAGGCCGCATCAGTCCCGTGGCTTTGTACCTGTATAATAGCATTGTCTGTATCATTGCAGGTGGGATGTAGCTGACACTGGTGGCTACCCCATATCTCACTACACAGCTCAGTACAAACTCAAGCACAGTTCTCCTGATGAACCTCTACATGAGTGGCACAAAGTCATACCAGGCCGCATCAGTCCCGTGGCTTTGTATCTGTATAATAGCATTGTCTGTATCATTGCAGGTGGGATGTAGCTGACACTGGTGGCTACCCCATATCTCACTACACAGCTCAGTACAGACTCAAGCACAGTTCTCCTGATGAACCTCTACATGAGTGGCACAAAGTCATACCAGGCCGCATCAGTCCCGTGGCTTTGTATCTGTATAATAGCATTGTCTGTATCATTGCAGGTGGGATGTAGCTGACACTGGTGGCTACCCCATATCTCACTACACAGCTCAGTACAGACTCAAGCACAGTTCTCCTGATGAACCTCTACATGAGTGGCACAAAGTCATACCTGGCCACATCAGTCCTGTGGCTTTGTATCTGTATGATAGCATTTTCTGTATCATTGCAGGTGGGATGTAGCTGACACTGGTGGCTACCCCATATCTCACTACACAGCTCAGTACAAACTCAAGCACAGTTCTCCTGATGAACCTCTACATGAGTGGCACAAAGTCATACCAGGCGGCATCAGTCCCGTGGCTTTGTACCTGTATAATAGCATTGTCTGTATCATTGCAGGTGGGATGTAGCGGACACTGGTGGCTACCCCATATCTCACTACACAGCTCAGTACAGACTCAAGCACAGTTCTCCTGATGAACCTCCAGATGAATGGCACAAAGTCATACCTGGCCGCATCAGTCCCGTGGCTTTGTATCTGTATGATAGCATTTTCTGTATCATTGCAGGTGGGATGTAGCTGACACTGGTGGCTACCCCATATCTCACTACACAGCTCAGTACAGACTCAAGCACAGTTCTCCTGATGAACCTCTACATGAGTGGCACAAAGTCATACCAGGCCGCATCAGTCCCGTGGCTTTGTATCTGTATAATAGCATTGTCTGTATCATTGCAGGTGGGATGTAGCTGACACTGGTGGCTACCCCATATCTCACTACACAGCTCAGTACAGACTCAAGCACAGTTCTCCTGATGAACCTCTACATGAGTGGCACAAAGTCATACCAGGCCGCATCAGTCCCGTGGCTTTGTACCTGTATAATAGCATTGTCTGTATCATTGCAGGTGGGATGTAGCTGACACTGGTGGCTACCCCATATCTCACTACACAGCTCAGTACAGACTCAAGCACAGTTCTCTTGATGAACCTCCACATGAGTGGCACAAAGTCATACCTGGCCACATCAGTCCCGTGGCTTTGTATCTGTATGATAGCATTTTCTGTATCATTGCAGGTGGGATGTAGCTGACACTGGTGGCTACCCCATATCTCACTACACAGCTCAGTACAGACTCAAGCACAGTTCTCCTGATGAACCTCTACATGAGTGGCACAAAGTCATACCTGGCCGCATCAGTCCCGTGGCTTTGTATCTGTATAATAGCATTGTCTGTATCATTGCAGGTGGGATGTAGCTGACACTGGTGGCTACCCCATATCTCACTACACAGCTCAGTACAGACTCAAGCACAGTTCTCCTGATGAACCTCTACATGAGTGGCACAAAGTCATACCAGGCCGCATCAGTCCCGTGGCTTTGTATCTGTATGATAGCATTGTCTGTATCATTGCAGGTGGGATGTAGCTGACACTGGAGGCTACCCCATATCTCACTACACAGCTCAGTACAGACTCAAGCACAGTTCTCCTGATGAACCTCCAGATGAATGGCACAAAGTCATACCTGGCCGCATCAGTCCCGTAGCGGTTAGTGTGGCCTTTCATATTTTATGTATGAATGTCCAGTCTAAAGTTACTTAGTCGTTAGATGTGATCAACAAGCAAGCGATCATGGCATTTTCTCATAGGCCTGTTGACATCACCGTAGATTGTGGATTGAATTCCACATCAGTTGGGGCGGCTCTCTTTTCACTGATAGTTCTTGCTATTATTGTTTATGAATAGTAAAATCAGTTGTCCAAAATTATATGTGTCCTACTGCTTTGTCTAAATTGTTTGTGAAAAGAGCATAAGGCCACTTAATGCCAAATCAGAAAGTAATAGATTATCTATTTATTTATATACACTACTCTTCTGAGTATTTCATGTTACATATTAGACCTATTATGACTATACTTATGACTTTTCAACTTTCAACTCCTTAAATTTTTCTGGATAGTTTAGGATTTTAACACATACATTTTTCTACTAAGATCTTGTTTCTAGAGATTCTAGCAAAACACCCTTTTCTACTTATTTTCCCAAAAATATGGTACCAGCTGACCACCCACTTAATTAACTACCTACTCTTTAGGGTTGGGAAAACCTTTGGATTTGACTTTACATAGGCCTACATTTGAAGTTCATAATTGAATATTAGCCTGCTGAAAAAAGAGTATGCTTTATGCCAGTAAAAGGAGTATATGTATTTACAACTAGTTGTAGTGTACAACTTTCTCTGTAGAAGCGTCTAGTGGACTCTAGTTGTAGCGGTAGCACCTTCTATAGGAGTTGAGCGTTGCGTAGTGGACAATGTTACTTAAGCGGGGTTTTGATACATTTTAACACAAATTACATGGAGATACAATTAACAAATCGTTTTATTCCTACAAATTAACTTTGGAGTACTTTTACAGAATTGTATATTTAAGTTACAATACAAGGACAGGGATCTACATTCTTGCTGCTACTCATTTCATCTAACAGTATAGTTCATTGTTTTACATCACATGGTGTTTCAAACTGTTACATATGTTTTATTTACATTTTATTTCTAACATGTGTTCAAATTATTATTTTGTTTACTTGTTGAATTGTTTATGTTTACTTACAGATTGTGATTTAATAAATACTAACTTTCTATTTTCTTATACAAAATGTGAACTTTTATCAGTAAAATTAGTGGAATCAACAATGGCGACGAGTAAAATGGTAAGTAGAAAAGAATTTGACCTATGTCTAAAGAAAAGGAAACTACTAGAACTACGCCTGAACAAACTCAAGGATGATTTACCTACATGTGAACATTTTCAAGATACATGCACTTACTACTCAGATAAACTTTTAGCAATATGGACTGAAATTGAAGTTACACAGTCAAATATTGAGCTTCACACAGATTCAGTAGAAAGTGAATTAGAAATTCGATGGCAGTTAGAAGAAATATATAGAGAGATACGAATATCCCTTGAAGCAGAAAAGAAAAAGTACATTACACATGCAGCAATGTCTGCTTCTGCAACATCTCAAAATGTATCTAATATTCCTTTCCAGCCGTATACACCAGAGGAAAGTTTTCAAAACTTCACTCGACGCTTTGAAAACTACACAAAATTACGGGGAAACTTAAGTCCAAAAGTCAAAGTGGATTTATTTTTACAGGCAATCACCCCACAAATACATGAACAGCTATACGATCTTTGCATACCAGATGACCCACTTAACAAGCCATATGAGGAATTGATTCACATGTTAATGGCTCAACTAGAACCAAAACCCAGTATTTGGGCTCGTCAGCACAAATTTACGACATGTATCCAATTATGTAATGAATCTGTACAAGCTTACGCTAATGCTCTTAGAAAGCTCAGTGTAGAATGTCAGTTTACTTGTACAATTTGTAATGAATCCGTGTCTGAAATTCTACTTCGAATGCAGTTTGTCAGGGGACTAAAAGACTCTGATATACGTATTCAACTTCTTCAAGATAAACTATTGCAACCGTTTAAAGAAGTAGTCGAAAAGGCTGCTACATTGGAACTAGCTAAAAGTGAGAGCAGAATACTAAAGACAAATGAAAATCAAGAGGAAGTACACCAAGTATCGAGCAAGAACAAACAACCAGATAGTAAGTCAAGTAAACAACTCTCTGAGTATCAATCTCGTTTGGAGAAACTGAGGAACAAATGCTATAGATGTGGTGATGATTCACATAGAGCACATCAATGTAAGTTCAAAAATGCAGAATGCAACTCTTGCAAACGACTTGGTCTATTAGCAAGAGTATGTCTAAGAAAACCAAACAAAGAAGTAAAACAATCTGATGAAACCACAGAAAATACAAGCGATGACAGTCATGAAATTTACCAACTTAATTCAAAATTAAATGACAAGTTTATGCTCGAGGTAAAAGTGGAAGGACGACTCATGACAATGGAATTAGATACAGGAGCGGCTCTTAGCATTGTATCATATGATACATTTAGGCTTTTAAACTCTCCAAAAAGGATTTTCAAGACAAATGTTCAACTCAAGACATACACTGGGGAAATAATCAATCCAAGAGGAGTTGTTTTTGTAAATGTTCAGTATAAAGATCAAAGTTTTGTTGGAAAACTGTACATTGCTAACAAGTGTGTAGACTCTATATTCGGAAGAGAATGGATAAGAGAGATTCAATTTGATGCAGCTGACATACATTCATTAAATTCGAGTGAAGAAAACGAGAACATTCAAGAACTAGATGATTTGATATGAAGAAATTTTCAAAGAAGGCATTGGGAAAATACCAAACGAAAAGGGTCATTTTAATGTCAAAGACGAAACCCAGCCAATTTACATCAAACCGAGACACATGCCATATGCATTACAAGAAAAAGTAGAGAAGGAACTTGAAAGAGTGGAGACTTTGGGTATAATTACACGTGTCGAATCATCCGATTGGGGGACACCCATTGTGCCGGTTGTCAAACCCAATGGTTCAGTCAGAATATGTGCTGACTACAAGGTGACTTTGAACAAAGTTATTAAAGACGAACATTACCCTATACCTCGGATCGATGATATCATGTCAAAGATGCATTGTGGAAAGATATTTTGTACTCTTCATATCAGTAACGCATACTTGCACATGGAGATGGACGAAGACAGTGCCATCATGCAAACAATCAGTACTCATAAAGGGCTGTTTAAAGTGAACAGATTAATGTTTAGAGTAAAAGTGGCACCCTCGTTATGGCAAAGATTCATGGACAAAACATTACATAAGGCGTACAATGTTTCTTTGACGATGTAATTGTCCAAGGATCTAACAGGAAACAGCTTCTTCGCCGACTGGAACAGGTGTTTGAACGACTGAAGTTAAATGATTTGAGGCTAAATAGGGAAAAGTGTAAGTTTTTCCAGACCAAAATTGAGTACTTAGGTCATGTGATCGATAGCAAAGGACTACACAAGTCAGATGCTAAAATACAGAGCATTTTAAAATGTAAGAGACCAGAGAACGTAACTGAACTCCGAACTTTCCTAGGCCTTGCGAATTATTACAACAAATTCATAAAGAATTTGGCTACACTACTACATCCTTTGAATCAGATGCTACGAAAAGGAAACACTTTTAAATGGAGCTCTGCTTGTGAACAGAGTTTTCTGAAGATTAAGGAAATTATTACAAGTGACGACGTATTGGTGCACTTTGATCCTAGCTTGCCACTGGTCTTGGCTACTGATGCTTCGCCGGTAGGTGTGGGAGCCGTTCTTTCACACCGCTATAGGGATGGAACAGACAGGCCAATTGCCTTCGCTTCTCGATCCTTGTCAAAATCTGAACAAAAATACTCTCAAATCGATAAGGAAGCCTTGGGAATATATTGGGGCCTGAAAAAGTTTTTCCTGTTTTGTTATGGCCGCAAATTTACTTTGATCACAGATCACAAACCCCTAGTGTCAATTTTTAATCCAGAAAAGACCTTGCCAACAATCTCGGCAACACGGATATTCAACTATGCTCACTTTCTCTCCGGGTTCGACTATGACATAGAGTACAGGCAAACCGCTCATCATTGCAATGCAGATTATCTTTCACGTTTCCCTATCGAAGTTGTTCAAGAACATTCTGTAGATGACCTCTCGAAGTACCACATAAATCAACTGGAAACACTCAATATCAACAGTACCGTGGTGGCTAAGGAAACTCTCAACGATGCTGTTTTGGGTCCAGTCCTACAGGCCTCAAAATTGGGACAATCTGTTGAACAATACGGATTTCACGATAATGAGCTGTCCATTCAAGATGATTGTCAGGGTGTCTACCAACCGGGAAATCCGGGAAAACCGGGATTTGTACTTAAATTTTTACTGGCCATGAAATGTACGGGAATTGTCCTTAAATGCCAGACTATGTCCTTAAATCTTTAATGGGCCATAATTTTATTGATCGCTAGTTGGTTAGGAGCACATAAAAGGTTTATCAGATGTTTGTTTACATTTTCATAATTTATTACTAGAGTAATTATGCAATAAAAATCCCATTAACCATCTCAAACCCATTAATATTTTATCACGAAAATCAAGTGTCAAGTCAAGTACTTCCAAGAACTGTTGACTCAGCAGCTAGCTCATAAAAGTTGTATCACTTTTATTCCTTTACAACTTCTTTTTTTATTACTAGGGTAATTATTATTAGATCCCAAACCTATTTTATCATGAAAATAATAGCTTTATAATGGCTGTTAAATTTCACTTCTTACTTGTACTTTCGGCTTGAAGATTCAATTTGCCGCGGCCAGTGCCTAGTGCCATAAAACTGTTTATGGTTTCATATTAAACATGTAAATAATCTACAGTCTTATTTTGTAAGTTAACCCCTTTTTTATGGACATTTTATCTTTCAATTGACAAAACCACAAGCATTGTTTTTATCACTATGTAGGCCTGCTTGGTTTCAAATTACAGTAGAACCCCTCATATCCGGCCACGACGGGACCAAGCTCATGGCCGGATAACGATTTGGCCGGATAAACCAACCTACTATGAAAATGACAATTCATACCTAATAATAATAGGTAATCAAAATATGCAGTCAAAAGTATCATTCCAGCCTTTTCTGGGATTAAAAAAATAAACATGTTTGTAAAAAGACAAAAAATATTTTTAGGTTAAAGTCGTTAAGCAATGAAACAAGTACAGTACAAATATGATGATTCCAGGTAACAAAAGGTATTAAATGGTGGTAAAAAAGACAATAAATTGGACTTGAAGATCGTTATGGGACTTAAATGGTACATGCATTTCAACTTTACATTCTTATCCATTTTGTGAAATACAAAGATTAATGTACTTTACTAACCCCGCTTTGGAAATAATCAACCAACTGATCAGGGGTTAGGCCTACTAGCTCAATTGAGTATAGTGACACAGCAAATAAATGTATAAACATAAACAAACAGATAAATACTGAGAACAAATTGTTTGACGACTTGAGCAGTCAGAAAGACTAGTGCTTGCATCTAAACGTCTGTAATCTGTGAGAAAAACATTTTGATATTGGCTTCCTGGAAGGGGCCGGATAAACAGAGGACCGGTAAAACCAAGGCCGGATATGAGGGGTTCTACTGTATGTCATTGCATTTTCTGTATCTTTGTCTTATATTGTTGGATATTCAGGTTTCAATGTTTTTTGTTTCCCATATACCTATTTTTTTCTCAGTTTATTAATTGAGTTGTATGCTTTAAGCAATCTAAATCTTATATGAACTAGAATGATGATAGTGACTTTGCTGCTATTATAACCTCATTGTTTGTTACTCAGTTTATATAGGCCCTCCTAAATAATTAGGTCTAGGCCTGGGTATTTTGATTCTTGAAAGAGCTGTAAAATATGTTAAGAAAATGTAATTGAGCCTAAGATAAACAACTAATGATTGCTATGTGTGGATATTAACTTTGCAAATGAAAATACAATACAGTAATCTTACTCTGTGCTTATTGCTTATTAATAGCCGCTTACCATACCTTGATTTTGTACTAAGAATTGAGTAACAATATGCATTAAAGATTTTTTTTCAAAAGTAGTCGAGAACCTAACATTGTGCCAGGGCGAATCATGCCAAATTAATCGGCCTGGATCGTATAAGCTATGTTATGAAGTTTACGTGACCGATGGAGATATTTGTCGCTATCGCAGGAGACAATGATTGCGTTTCTCTGTTACACTATAAAAGCTTTACCTAAAGTATAGGTAGGCCTATGTTTGTTTACTTTCAATAAATTTCTATTTAGTATTTTTTAACTCTTATCTATTATTATTTACTTTTCTCTCTGGTACAACTACAGTGAATAACAAGATTAATACAGTTTGACAAATCAGAAAAATTATTCGGTAGGCCTAATGACACCGACAAAGGTTACGGCAAAGTGTCCTTAAATGTACGGGAATTGTCCATGAATTTGTTATCCAGAATGTAGTAGACACCCTGATTGTGTACTGAAGGGCTGGAGAGTCATGATACCTCAATCTCTCAGACCTCATGTGCTTCGAGAACTACACGTAGCTCATTTAGGAGGAATAAAAATGAAGGCTTTAGCTCGCAGTTTTTGCTGGTGGAAATGTATAGACAAGGATATTGAAGAGATGGTAGCTGAATGTCGACAATGCATTGAAAAATGCAACAACCCGAAAAAAACTATCCATCCATGGGAACAACCTTCTAATCCATGTGAGAGGGTGCACATTGATTTCTTAGGACCAACAGATGGCCAACAGTACCTGATATTAGTGGATGCCTTTAGTAAGTGGGTAGAGGTGATACAGACAAAAACAACTACAAGTACATGGACAGTCCAAGAATTACGGAAAATCTTCTCAACTTTTGGGTTTCCTCACATCTTAGTTTCAGATAATGGAAGACGGTTTGTTTCTCAAGAGTTCAAAAACTTCATGAATGAATGTGGGATTATTCACAGAACAACGGCACCATACCATCCAAACTCAAACGGCCAGGCTGAAAGATACGTACAGACGGCGTTAAAATCCATGGAGGGAGAAAAGGGTACACTGCAAAATAAAATACAAAGACTCTTAATGCAGCTCAGGCAATCCCCGAATTCAACTGGTACATCAGCATACCACCTAATGTTTGGAAGGAGTGTACGAACAAACCTTGCAATAATTGTTCCAACATTAAAACCGAACAAATATCAGAAGAAAGGAGTCCAAGTCGGTATAAAAAGGAATTTCAAAAGTTGGAGATAAAGTGCAAGCGCGGGAATATGTCAATGGTTCGTCCAAGTGGTATTCGGGCTATATAACTAAAAAGCAAGGACATGTAATGTACGTAGTTCAGCTAGAAGATGGACGAATAATAAGAAGACATGTTGACCAGCTGATTCTTTGTAAAGTGCAGCAGCACAGTAAATAGAGGAGGAGGTCTTACATATGTTTCATTTACATTTTATTTCTAACATGTGTTCAAATTATTATTTTGTTTACTTGTTGAATTGTTTATGTTTACTTACAGATTGTGATTTAATAAATACTAACTTTCTATTTTCTTATACAAAATGTGAACTTTTATTAGTAAAATTAGTGGAATCAACACAAGCAATCAAATAAGTAACAAAATCAATGCCATCTGTATTTTCATAGGCAAAAGAAAGAAATGGTACAACAAATTGAAATAATACTGTAAGAGTACAGAACATGTAGAATATTTTTTCAATTGATTTGTATGCAGTGTTTTTATTTTGTTTTAGAGTCAGATAGATGTGTATAAGCTTGAGCCAAACTCTACTTATCTGTTTGAAGTCTGGGCAAGCAATCAACTCGGGGAGGGGGAAGTAGTCCAGGTAGAGGGTACTACACATCACGACTCTGAGGAAATTGGTATGATCAACATACTTTTATCTCTTACTTACTTGAGCATTGGCCAAATTCTTTTTCATGACAAACCAGTCTTCTAATATTGTATTTGTGTGCAGATAGCTTTTCCATACAGTAGAATCCCTTTTATCCGGACTTCTCGGGACCGAGGCCAGTCCGGATAACGGGTTTTCCGGTTAACGCGAAGTCTGCCAAAACTCGTTAAAACGGACCACTTACTGTGATATTCGACTTAAATTTAGGAGAGCATTGTATTTAGACATGTGATCACTGGTCTAAAATATTTTCCACGAGAACAGTCATTTCATTACCGCCCACGCCCTGCCGATCTAGTCCGGTTAAACCAATGTGCTGATAAATTTGTCTGGTTAAAGAGATGTCATTTCCGCCGAGTGAAGTCCGGTTAAACCGATGTCCGGTTAAAAAGGTGTCCGGATAAGAGGGAGTCTACTGTATTTATGTTTATCATTTACATTATGGGTTTGATTTAAATCCAAGCGGATTTCCCATATAGAGAATAAGCCCCTAAAGTGTATGGAGAAAGTATTATTTTTGTCAAAGTGATGTCTGTGTATATGTGTGTGTGTGTGTACAAAGCTTAAGACTACTGTGGTTCAGATGTTATAAAAATTTGGTATGTGGGTACTACATGGCATCTTTAGGCATTTTTTCATTTATTAAAATTTTTTTTATTTTTAAATGTGTTTTTTCTATAAAAGCCCATAAAATAACGGTAAAATTAGATTTTAAAATATGACCCAAACGATTTTGATTATAGCCCATTTATTTCTTAAAAAAGGGTACAACCCTCATTGCTGTAAAATTACGGGTTAAAAGTTATTGCTGCTAATTTAGTGATTTACCAATAAAAACCCATAAACTAATGGAAACATCTTATACACAAAAAAAATTTACAAAACTTATGACAGCTAGCCTGACCGTACTACAGCCTCGGAAGTATCGGTATCGATAGGTATCGAGAGTACTTTGGTGGTATCGGTATCGACAATTTTTGGTATCGGCCCATCTCTAAAAATAAAGGTTATCAGTCCTATATATGTGCAGGTTTTATTTTTATTTTGAGAATATTAATCTTAATTGGGTCAAAAATGGTAATTCAACTTTTCTTTTGGAGATTTAAAATGGGGCTAATTTTATATATTAATAGACAAGCATGTTTATTGAAAACCCTTTTTCTCAGCTACTGTGCATCGCAGGGTACTGTTAGGAAGATATTTGCCTGTAGATGTGCAGAATACCTTTATAAATTAAAATAGACTCAAAATTAGCACAAAAATGAATTTAAAATTAAAACAAAAATTAGCATGGACCTTATGGGTTGCCATGTTGGTGACGAAATAACAACAAAATATAAACAGAAAATCAAAACGAATAGAAGAAATTCCAATCATATGTTTTATTTACAGTGTGGGGTGAAAATAGAGAAGTTTGCACAATACATACTTTTGGTTGAGTTTTTGACCATGGGGCGAGCTCTAGTTGGATTCTAAAAAACAGCCATTTTTTTAGGTTAAATGGTTAGAAACCACTCTTACTAACCTCAGTGGCTGCTGCAACAATGACAGTGGTGCCACAGAAAACAGTATCCATTACCTAGCTAATATTCAAACTGATTATAGCTGATGTATCCATAAGTTAAATTGTATTTTTAAGGTTATTAATTTTGTCACTACGATTTTAATGGTAATAATGACGCAGAACTGGGCCGCCACTTGCTAGAGGGGGTGGAGACATTTGACACCAGGTACTGGGTAGCCGCAGTCGCTGTTGTCATGGGTACACTCGTAGTGTTGGCACTGGGAACATGCTACGCTCTCTACCGTGAATGTCATCTGCCGCTCAGTAAGTCGTCACTTTCTAGACCCGCTAGCTCGGCCCAACAAACCACTAAGGTGTAATTTGTAACGGTGAATAACACTGTATCTAACATACAGTATATTATTATTAACAATTTAATAGGCCAAAACAAGTCTGACATTAGGTTGTAATCATGTTTAATGTGCCTATTTAATGCAGACCTAAACACAATATGAGCTAGAAACGAACATGGTTTAAAATAATAGTTTTCAATAGATATCATTCTGTTTATTCAGCACTTTATACTAAACCTGCCAGGTTAGTTTGCATGAAATTTGTTGATTGTTTATGGGATTTATAAAGAACTGAAGATTACGAGTTGTAGTTAAAATAATACCCAATCCCAAAATTACACAATTCACTAAAACCTGTCAAGACAAGTTAGTTATCAGTCAAGTTACCAGTCAAGTTATCAGACAAGTTAGTTGTAGTCAGTGGGTGTTGGTAGATGTTTTTGATTTACACTTCTTCTTAAAAAGCTTCCAATGAATATATGATAGCAATTGAGTTTTAGCATAGTTTAATGTTAACATTTGAAGGTGTGTTTTTTTCCTTTACTGACTTGTACATAATATTTTGGGTTATACGTAATCTTTCTCTTACATTAATTATATAATTTCGTGCTTCCATTGCATTCAATACAACCAAAATATATTGTGATTTTTTTATATTTGTTTTGACTTTGACTTTTAAAATCACTGTAAAAAGTCAGTACTGTTTGTAATCGATGTTATAAATATTCGACAAGATGCTTTTACTGGATCACTTTTATTCAAAGACTTAATAGTAGCACAATATCCTGTGTATGTTAACAGTAGTTGAGCATTTACTTCTAATTTTTAGTAAATCTCTAAATACAAGTGATATCAAAGGCGCTTTTGAGCTTTACCATGTATAAGTTATCTAAATCAAAGTGCCTTTTAAGTCTTTTAGTTGTTGCCAGTTGTTTGGTTACCTTATTTGTAACATCCTAATTCTTTGTCTTTCATAAATTTGAGTTTTATAAAATACAATTTGTCATAAGTTGTTTAAGGGTTTTGTGAAATAATGTTGCAAGTTTGATTATTTTGTGATATTTTTAATATTTTTATAGATAAATGCAATCACATGATATCGTTCAAGTATAAGTTTATGATAGGTATCATTAGGTTCACGATTCACACAATTTAAACATGACAATAATGACAATATTAATATACCTAAAACAATATACTTTTTACTACTGGTAAGTTGCGTCAAATTTTCAAAGGACAACTTTTACAGGACAGTTGTATTTCTATAAACCTTTCACATTTTTTTATAATGTATTATTAGGAAAATTTTTTCTATACATATTTTTGAAATACCTCAAATACCCTTGCTCTGCTCAATGAAGTTTTAACCAGTAACGTCCCTATTAGGTGTTCATCTTTAAAAAAATAGTTTATTAAGACATTATTCTCAAAGTTATTAAAATTTGGTAGTGTTATCTCAATACCTGACATTTTGGAGATGTCTATTAATTCTTATTATCATACACTATTTTAACTTTTGTACATACAGTTATTTCATCCTCCAAGTGCAATTACTTTATGAAAAAAACCTTTACAAACAATTATTTCTAGTAAAAAAGGATCAATCAATGCTTCCTAAGCCAATCTCATCAGTTGTTACCCAACATTTGATTTTATAGTTATTTCAGTCGCAAATATTCATTAAGAACTAAGAACCTCTTTTATCCACAATACTATTTAGTTGTTAGATATATAAAAACAATAACCTAAAAAAAATAATAATTAACATATTGTTTGATATATATAAAAAAAATATTTATTTTTCATTTGTTTACTTTACAATCATCTGTTCAATGAATATGATGAACTGAACAATAAGTAAATGTTATCTAATAAAATAAGTAATGTTTGGGCATTAAAAATAGCTGCTAACATTCTGCTAAGCACTGTGAACAACAATTATTTTCAAATGAACCACTTCACAAAAATCTAAAGGGCAGGTCCATAATTGAGGGTCTTTTAAAGCAGGAAACCCACTAGTCCGACACTCTCCTATCCGTACCGTTCCATTCACTCTCCAAGGCCTTCTGTCAGAATTACTTTGCAAGGCTTTAAATGGACTGTAACCCACTAGCCCGACGCTCTCCCCTTGGTTCAGTTCTGTTTCGACTTCTTCCGTCGACATTGCTCTCTGGGGCATTGTTGTCAGACGTCGGATCCAATGTTTCATTGTTATATGGTTATTATATATGGTTATATATGGTTATATATGTTATATATGGTTATCTGGTGGTCTGCTTGCACCAGCCTAGTTTAGTCATTGTCAAGCTTTGTGTGTGACATGAATGTAGATGAACTTTTGCTTGAAGCAGTTTGGGAGTATCCCTTTCTTTATACAGTAAGTGATAAAAGCAGCCTGAACATATTCTGATGCTTTCAGTGATGCAAGTACTATGGATTGGAGTTGTGATTTGTTCTCAAATTGTGGACTAACTATTATAGAAAAGGAATATGCGAATAAAGAACCATCGGATGTACAAATAACAACCTATTTTACTAATGCAGCCAAAATGAACAATAAATTCCTGAAACATCTAATTTCTCGTCGGTTACTGACAGAGACCGTTGAACGAATAGGGGACCCAGTCGGAGACTGAACAGAATGGAATTGAGAGCGTCGGACTATTGGGTTTGCTGCTTAAGAGTCCTTGGACGCTAGTGGCCATCTTGGGTAATTTTAAACAGCTGCTGAAGAGTGAATTATCATCCAAAAATAGTTTTAAAACACCAAACTGATTATAATTTCAATATATTTTATTCTATGAGATTAAAAATTGTCTTTGTTGTTTTGAATTGATTTCCAAGGGAGTTAAACGACCATCTTGGATTTGCATGCCATGAGAGCAATTTTAATTTTGTTATTTTTAAACAGCCGCTGAAGAGTTATTAACCATCACAAAATATTTTTTCAAATACCAAAGTGATTATAATTTTTTAAATATCTAGTATACAGTGAGATTAAGAAATGTTCTTTGTATTTTTTAAATTATTTTATTAGTTAAAACGTCTAGGCTCCAACGACTCTTCAAGTCTATAAACCGTGCCTGAGTTCTTGAACAAGTTCAATGCTAAATGATTTGGATGAGATTCCAAATTTGGAACATATTTTTCAAGGTTCAGTTTTGAGTTCATTCTTAACCAAATATAAGTTCCTTTACCCATTTAAGGACTGAAACCGATCTCTGTTTCCTTTTACTGGTGTCAAGTAAATTGTTTGCTTTTAGTCTCGGTGGTGAAATTTATTACAAGTACCCTCTGTAAACTAAGGTCTCTATCGAGAGCTCCCTAAAAACCAGGCAAGATAGTTTAAATAGCTAGTTAAGAAACAAACCTCATGTTCCTTACTTCATTCACTACTGCTAGCTAGTTCCCACCCCCTATGCGACAATTATTTGACTTATACTACTAAAAATGCTGTAAACAAAAACAGTTCCCGCTAAGAATAAATCCTGCGATGATATTTCTGTGTTTCAGTCGTCAATCACTATTCAAGTTTATCACCAGATGACGGATGTAAATGGAGTAGAGCGTTTGGAGAAAGTATATGCAATGGGTGAAAGGAGTTTGGAGGTGGACTTAACATTGCATGATGTTTTCAATAGTGTAGGCCGACTGCTGCTGTACCGGTACATCAGTTTTGTATGACTTGCGTTAAGGAATTTCAAACGTTAATGGGGGTATGACTGAACTAGTCAATAAGACTTAGGACTACAGTCAGCCCTGGAAGTCTGAAACACGCGGATGTGCAAGCTGGTGGATATTCAAATCTGTTATAATTGGCAAATCCTACTATTACCAACTAACATCTATATATAAAAAAATCTATGTATTTTATAGTTTCTAAAGTGCTTTTTTTTTGTTGGTTCACCATAATTTCCTTAATTCTTCATACATTTTTATAGAAAAAGGTATAATTTTTAAGATCTCATCCACCGCTCGCTACACCGGAAAAATATATAATTTACTGATTTACTCATATTTTAAGAGTTTCTTGAAAAAACTCAATTCATTTTATCATTTAATTTTAATTTAAAATGTTGATTTATGTTATTCGACTTTCTGTTTTATTTTTTAGGTGAATTAGATTGACTAAAACTTTGATTTATAAAATACTTTCCCAATCTTTTGCTGTAGGCCTACTTGGTTTTTACTTTATCCTTGACAACCAGTTTACTTTGTCTCTGAATACTTTGTGTGGTCCAACGATCAGTGGGACGTCCCATTATAACACCAAATGAATTGGATATTATCTGCGAGTACTGCTTTATTACTCACCACATTGCAGGCCCAAATCCTTAGAGGACTTTCAGAGGGTAGATGGGATGCTTTGCTACTCCTTTCAGGAAGCTGCAAAAAAAAAAACTCCAACAGGTATTTAAAGACACAAAATAGTCTGCTCAAAGTTGCTACCAGATGCCGAAACAATTGACACAGATTTTTGCAATCATCAGCAAATTCTACTATCCCGCTAACATACTCTAATTGTGTGTCACCTTAAAAAACGCACTTAGTGAGGATTTCCTAAAGGAACCAGAAGCAACTTTTTTGTCAGCAAGATAGAAACTGCAAAGCCTATCATCCGCCTTAGCCAGTTGTTATCGAGGGAAAAAATCACAAACAGCTTACGGATATGTAGTTGAGGAGCAGAAAGCCACTACAGATGAGGTAATCCATTTAGTTTGAAATAAAATTGAAGCTTCATATTTCATAATAGGTCCTGAAGGATCTAGAAAAAACGTTAAGTAACGCTAAGCACATATTTTAACGAAGATGGCCAAGTCTTTTTGCCAGTTGTGTGGACAGGATTGCTTCACAGCGACTACCTTCAAACAACAGTACCTCATCTTTGACTTTAAGGTCTCATCGATGTGCACTTACAACAAGGACGTACAACTTCACAGACAATGAAAAAAAATTCACATCTTTAAACAC